AACATCACGTGCCGACGCTCACAAATCAGTGGTTAGTGACGTTAACTCTTTGACTCCCACTTCATCTACTCCGTGTGTTCCTCTGCCCAGGAGGACGCGATCATCTCGGGCTTCATTCACTCCGGCACCGAAACAACAACATGGACCATGGATCACACAGCGGAAGACACGAGACAGGACCAGAGCTACCTCTCCGCCCCTCGGAGCTGTTGTGCTGCACGCGGGAGCGAACGACATCAGGCTGCAGCAGACGGAGGTTCTGAAGAAGGACTACAGGAGCCTGATCGAGACGGTACGCAGCACAGCGCCTAAAGCAACGATCATCATGTCTGGACCGCTTCCCACGTACAGACAAGGACAGGAAAGGTTCAGTAGACTATTTGCATTAAATGAATGGTTAATGTCATTGTGTAATGAACAGAAAATGCTCTTTGTAAATAATTGGCATCTGTTTTAGGACAGAGCCAGGCTGTACCGTGCAGAAGGACTCCACCCCAGCAGAATCGGAGCTGCTGTGCTGTCGGACAACATCTCCAAGACGTTACGGACCAGATGACTAGTAAGTCAAAGTCCAAATCACAGCCTTTGCGGTCCAAACTTAACTAATAAGCATAGTGTGGAACATTATATAGAAACTGTGTCTATTCCTTGTTTAGTGAAGCCAAACAATAAATCTAGTGCAGTAATTTCTTGTAATTAAACCAGAAAATCTAAATATCAGTGAACAAAAACAATTTCTAAAGCTAGGTCTTCTAAACATTAGATCGCTCACACCTAAGGCGGTTATTGTAAATGAAATGGTCACAGATAATAATTTCGATGTTCTGTGCCTTACTGAAACCTGGCTTAAACCAAATGAGTATTTCGGTCTAAATGAATCTACTCCGCCAGGATACTGTTATAAACATGAGCCTCGCCTGATCGGTCGTGGCGGCGGTGTTGCAACAATCTATAAAGATATTTTGAATATTACTCAGAAAACAGGTCACAGGTTTAATTCATTTGAAGTACTTGTGCTAAATGTTACGCTCTTAGATGTAAGAAGGAAAACCATATTATCTCTAGCCTTGGCTACCGTATATAGACCTCCAGGGCCATATGCTGAATTCCTAAAAGAGTTTGCAGACTTTCTCTCGGATCTATTGGTAAATGTCGATAAAGCAATAATTGTTGGAGATTTTAACATACACGTAGATAATACAAATGATGCTTTAGGGGCTGCGTTTACAGACTTATTGAACTCCTTCGGGGTCAAACAAAATGTCAGTGGTCCCACTCATCGTCTAAATCATACACTAGATATAATTATATCATATGGAACCATTCCAACTGATATAGATATTATACCGCAAAGCGATGATGTCACTGATCATTACATGGTGACTTGCATAATACGTACTGATGAAATATGTCATGTTGCGCCACGTTATAGACCAGGCAGAACAATCCTTCCAACCACTATAGATGGATTCTCAAATAGCTTACCTGATCCATCTAAGCTGCTAAGTGAACCCAAACAAACAGATGAATTAGAGGAAATGACTAGCAGTTTAAGCACCATTTTCACTAGTACATTAGATATTGTTGCACAAATTAGATTAAAAAAGGTTAGAGAGAAAACTAAAGCACCATGGTACAACAGTGCTACGCATAGAAACTCGCAACTTAGAGCGTAAATGGAAACAAACTAACTTAGAGGTCTTTAGAATCGCGTGGAAAGACAGTATGTCACGTTATAAAAAGACACTAAAAACAGCCAGGGCTGAGCATCTCCGCAAACTAATCGAAAATAACCAAAATAATCCAAGGTTTTTATTTAACACCGTGGCTAGACTAACAAATAAACAGACATCACCAGAGCAAAATATACCATTACAGTTTAGTAGTAATGATTTAATGAATTACTTCAATGAGAAAATAGAAAGCATCCGAAACACAATTATAAATGTACAATCCTCTATGGTGTCTTATGATTCAGCTTCAACTATGGCCCCCCTAGAACAACTACACCGCTTTACAACGATAGGACAGGAAGAGCTAAATAAACTTATCATTGCATCTAAACCAACAACATGTTTATTAGATCCAATACCCACTAAACTACTGAAAGAACTATTACCTGTAGTGGAAGAGCCTCTCCTCAATATGATGAACTCGTCTTTATCTTTAGGTCATGTTCCAAAAATATTCAAGCTGGCCGTAATAAAACCTCTCATTAAGAAACCACAATTAGATCCAAATAACTTAGCAAATTACAGACCCATTTCAAATCTTCCATTTATGACCCATTTATGTTGTGCTCTTTTTTGCAAGAAAATTATATCTATGAAAAAAATTCCAGTCAGGATTCAGACCGCATCATAGTACAGAAACTGCGCTAGTTAAGTTAACTTTTAGCTTCTGACCAAGGCTGTATCTCAATACTAGTCCTACTTGATCTTAGCGCTGCGTTCGACACTATAGATCATAAAATACTCTTGGATCGACTACAAAACTACACCGGTGTCCAGGGACAGGCATTAAGCTGGTTTAGATCGTACTTATCGGACCGTTATCATTTTGTCTGTTTAAATGGAAAAAAATCAAAGATAACGTCAGTAGACTATGGAGTACCGCAAGGATCGGTTTTAGGCCCTCTGCTATTCTCAATATATATGCTGCCACTTGGTAATATTATAAGAAAACATGGAATTAATTTCCACTGTTACGCTGACGACACTCAATTATATATTTCATCGCGACCAGATGAAAACACTAACTCATCTAAACTGACAGAGTGTCTCAAAGATATAAAACGCTGGATGACGCGTAATTTCCTGTTATTAAATTCAGATAAAACGGAGGTATTACTTATTGGTCCAAAAAACTACTCAGAAAACCTCTCACAATTCAACTTTAATATAGACGGATGTCCTGTTACTTTATCCACTACAGTAAAAGACCTGGGTGTTATACTAGACCGCAACTTGTCTTTCGAAAATCATATTTCATATGTTACAAGAACAGCCTTTTTCCACCTTAGAAACATTGCTAAGCTACGTAACATGCTATCTGTTTCTGATGCAGAAAAATTACTTCATGCATTCATGACCTCGAGACTAGATTACTGTAATGCTTTATTAGCCGGTTGTCCTGCATCCTCAATAAACAAGCTACAGTTTGTACAAAATGCAGCTGCTAGAGTTCTTACTAGGTCAAGAAAATATGATCATATAACACCGATTTTATCATCTCTACACTGGTTACCTATTAAGTTCCGTATCAACTACAAAGTACTACTACTGACCTATAAAGAACTGACCCTAAATGAACTCCTCCTATGTACTTAAGGGACCTTCTACCTTACGGACCGGGTCGGCGCGTATGGTTGGGTTGCGGAGAGTTCAGGTTACGGAGAGTTTGTGAGATAGTGGTTTTCTAACACCGACTCCCGTATAATGGAAATCATTATGAACATCAGCTATGCTAATCATCTCCCATCTGCCTTTCTGCTGTTATTTCGGGACGCTTGTCCCGAGAAAAATGGCGTTCGTCAGGTCCAGTTTTGTGTCCAGCTTCTCACGGGGATTTCGGATGGCCCAACGCCTGTGATGAGAGGACCAGCGCCTGTGAAGAGACGACTCAACGCCGGCGATATGTTATGGCACCGTTTTATATATAAACAATATTTATATATAAACAATATGAATGTTAGCCAGAGGAGAACTGGCCCCCGACTGAGCCTGGGTTCTCCCAAGGTTTTTTTCTCCATCCAATCTGATGGAGTTTTGGTTCCTTGCCATTGTCGCCTTGCTTTTGGCTTGCTTAGTTGGGGTTATTTAATATTTAATATTTAACAATATTATTGATCTGTGTTGTACTACTTTCATGTTATCACTGTGAAGCTGCTTTGATGCAATCTGTATTGTGAAAAGCACTATATAAATAAATGTGACTTGACTTGACTATTCACCAAGGCACAGTTCCTGTCTTTAGTGTTAACCGCCGATTCCGTTTAATGGGCTTTCGGGGAAAGATTGATTACAGCGATGTCTGGAAACAAGCATGACCTTACACACGTGAACAAAACACCAGAGATAACAACTTGTGAGCTTAACTGATTGCTGGAAGAAACCAATGACCAAAAATATCAAACAGCGCAGGCAGGTCATTCATCTCTGCCAAACTATGTAAACTGCTCCGGCACAGGTTATTTTTATGAGAGAGTAAGACTTAAATGAACTGAAAACCCCCATTACTGTAACAGAAATGATTCATTGACTTTGTCAGACCAGTGTCTGTCTTTACCAGTGTCAGAATAACAGACTAAACTGGCATCAACACTTTAAACCAATAAACATGTTATCACGTGATTTAGATGTCTTTATAATGACATCCTAATTGTTTGGAGATAGCTCGTACTGATTGACAGGGGTCCAGCCAACCACTGTGATGCAAAGAAGAAGCCAAGCACTCGCTTTGGAAGAAGCCTCAGCATCACATTCCTTGACAACAGACAACGCTGAGTGTTATTCAACTGCATGGTTTTTTTCTCTCTCTCTTTTCCTGTGTCATGTCTGTTTGTATTATATGGGTTATGTTGTGTGTATTACACAATTTCAGTGCTGTGGAAAAGAATAACCCCCTGTAACCCCCTGGGGACAATAAAGTTAAAAGTAAAAAAAAAAAAACGAACAACAAAAAAAAAAACAATCACTGCTGTCCCCTAGTGGTCAAACAGAAAATGATGTCTGTCTGTCCGTGTCTTTTCTAAATTATTTTTATCCTGATTAACTTCTGATGAAGAATAAAATTAAAGGTGACTGTGAATTTTTCATCTAACACTTCAGATTTTTATTTTATTATTATATTTTATATATTAAATAATGTAGGCTAGGCCTATATGAAATCAAGTGTCGGGCTTTAAAAGTCCTTGGTCATCAGCATCCAAATACGCAGGGCTGGACTGGGACAAAAAATCAGCCCTGGACACTTCATCCAGACCGGCCCACTATGCACACACACACACACACACACACACACACACACACACGCACACACACACACGCACACACGCACACACACACACACACACACACACACACACAAACACACACACATCTATACGTGCATTAATCTGCATGTAAAATTACTGATTAGATTTTATTTACTATCAGAACCAAGAAAAAAATATTAAAATAATAAACAAATAAAATGGAAATGATTTTATAAGGCTTTATTGTAAATAACTGGTCTTAATTTATGTGCCGCTTATTATTCTAATAGAATATTCTTAGGCTATACTATATAAACTATATTTCATGAGGTGCAACATCACTGCCAGGACCTACTGTAGGTCCTGGCAGTGATGTTTCACCTCATGAAATATAGTTTATATATAGTATACCTATATTTTATTTATACTATATCATTTATATAGTGTATATAGTATATATATATATATATATATATATATATATATATATATATATATATATATATATATATATATATATATATATATATATATAAATCATTGTTAAAGCTATTAGTCAAGAGCAGTGAGTTATTTATCTTTGTCTTTTGTTCACATTTAGCCTATGACACATAAGGCTTCTGCCAGGCACTTTCAGGGATACAAATTGAAAAAAATATATATATATGTGCATATTTATATGCAAAATACTCCTTTCTATAGCTATTTGAAAGGTATGCAAGTATGCAAAATACTTTTTCAAGTCAACTATGTGCTATTGTCATTAAATGGCTTTCCTGAGGTATAAAACGTTCTGTGACATAATTGTTCTCCTGCTGTTTTATTAATCTCTTTCCGTTGTTGAAAAGCACTGATTGATATTATTTATGAGGCATATACCGTTTGATAAGTTGTAGGCTATTGTATCTTATCTTTAAATAAAAAGTAACAGATGATCGGTTTACTTGAACTGAGGCGCTAAAGCGACCTGTCACGTTATTTTCTAGCGGCAAAACGGTATTGTCTGAATTTCGTAATAAAATGGACAGAACCAGAGAGCTGAGAATTTTAAATGTCATTTATATCGATCAGTGAGTGGAGGCCTATTACAGCTGGAATATCGTAACATGCTTAAACAAAACAATGCAGAAGGCTACGTGTAGCCTATCATTCTAAATGTCTCACCTCAGCAGTCAGGCGCGCCCTGCTGACATCTTCACTAAAGTCCAGCAAATAATTCATTTATTTTAACACATTTGGTGGCATCTGCCTCAAGTTATTGTCGTTGTCTTGTCGTTTTTTCTCTCTCGACTTCTCGGTCCCCCTTTACGTTTAGAGATGTTACTCTTTTCACAATTTCGTTGCACATCATCACATCGCATCACTGCAGTTGTTGTAAAGCGGCCGCTTTTCAAGTCTAGATTTGAACTTGATTCCGATTGGCCATCAGACCTGTTAGTCTCGCAGCTCGCGTCAGCTTCATGCGGCTTCATGAGAGAGACACATGCCCGGAATTGGACAATATAACAATATACTTACGATAGAATAGGCTATATTTACAATTAATAATGATTTAAAAACAAAATACATAACGCGCCGGGCCGCCGGCCCAACCAGACCGCGGCCCACCGGGAATGTCCCGGTAGTCCCGATGGCCAGTACATGCCTGCAAATACGTCATGTTCATGTCCGTATAATTTTATTTGTGGAAATCAAATCAACCATTTATTTGAGTTAATCAGTACATGACTGATTAACAGTAATGTAAATGCTAAATGCCCTAATACATGTTGATACTACAACAATGCAAAGTATAGGCTATGCTCTTAACCTTGCAGTTCACATATCATGTGAGCCTCAATTTCTCAATTTCTTTGCACAAAACTCTCCAGAAAATGTCATTTAATGGTTTATTTCTCAAAAAAAATTCCCCGGGGGGGGAACCCCAGACCCCCCTAGCATTTACTGTCGCCCCCCAGGTTCAGAATTGCTCCTACGCCCCTGTTTTGATGACATTTTTGAATGTACACATAGCCTACATCGGGTTGTTTTGCAAGTGCAGAATCCAGGTGCGCGTGAGTGATTCAAATTTTAGTTGCCATAGCGACGCAAATATACAAAATCAAATATATACAGACGAAACAATTGAGATTTGTTGGTTGAGACAAGGCGATTTCAGAGACTTTTTCCGAGTGTTTTCTTCCAGATCTTGAGATTTCGAAGCAATTCGGACGATTTCTTTTCTAGGAGGAGACCGAAGGATATCCTTTATTAGTTTTATTTTTTAAAAATAGTTCATATTATTTCTAAGGACACTTTTATCTCATTGTTTGTTTCTTGCTTTATATTAGGAGTTGGAGTTTTATTTAATTTTGTGTTTGATTTGATTATTTTTTGTTGTATTAATTATTTTTTTATTTTTTTGGGGAGGGGGGGCAGTATTTCCCAGGGGATTTTTATTTTATTTTATTTATTTTTCATTTTTTCTTTTGATTGTATTTTGCATTGTTTTTATTGCAGGTTGGAGGACGACGTTATCCTAGAAGGAGTAGATCAGAGGATATATCCTTTCTTTTTTATTCTCATATATTATTTCTGAGGACACTTTTATCTATTACTTTTGTTTTGATTGATTTATTTTATTGATTTATTTTGGGAGTATTTCTGATAAGGTTTGAATTTTATATATATATTTTTTGAATTGTATTCTAACTTATCGTTTCTATTGCAGGACAATGATGGCTCACATGGGTGAAAGAGATGGTGAGTGAAGTTATTCATTTGTTTATGGTAGTTATGTTAAAATGGTGTGATGATGGACTAAATTAATGTGCAGAAACTTGTAGCCTACGATGCAACCCATTTGATCCGCCAATTTCCAGGCCTATTAGATTCCCTTTCAATTTGAGTAACTATAGTAATAATTTGTAATTGACCACTGACATTGATCATTGATTATTTTTAAAACATAACTAACTATGTGATGTCTGAAATATTGCAGGCTCAGGCTGCTCCAGAACGAGGGGACCTTCTTCCACTCAGACGGCTGGTCTGGAGGTTTGGCGTCTCCGTTCTGTTGATTTACCTCCTCTGTCTTCTGGGTCTTCTGGTTCTTCTGTGTTCACAGAGCAGGCTCACATGAGGAAGTGGCAGAGCAGGAGCCAGCTGAGCCCAGATGATGAGTTCATGTGCCCTCCACTGCCAGGTCAAGTTCCTGTGGAGCCAACAGTGACCTCAACTGGCCCAACAGCTCAGGGTGCCGTGGAGGCGTCTCCTGCGAACAGGAGCTCAACAGGTGAGATTGAAATAAGGCTGGGAGGTGTAAAGTGTACTGACAGAGATTTTGCTGCTTCAAGTTTTTAACAGGTTATAGTCTGGTCATATTTACCATCGCTCAGCAATATTTAGCTGAAATTTTCTTTCCGATTTTTCCTTATCCAAAATGTTTTAGTTGGACGTTCATCTAACATATATTTATGTTTCAGAACATTCAGAGAACAATCAAAAGTCACATTCCCATAATATTAGCAAAATTATAAAAGGGATTGTTCCCCTTAACATTTATCAAGAAGAAGAAAAAAATAACACATTGAAAAAATACAAAAACTGGATGTTATTACTTAATATTGTGAAATAAGACTTTGGGACATTGATGCAGGCATTAAGCAGAAACTGGGCCGTCGTATAATACATGTGCATTATTTTGATTTGTAACATTACAGATAAGAATCGAACAGTAAAAGTTGAGTGTCATTTTGTCATTGTTTAATTTGAGGTTAGAGATGTTTCTAAAAAATGTCTTTTCAATTGTTTTTCTTCATTTCAGGAAAACCTACACTATGTAGGAAGAGGAAAGGAATTCGAGGTTTCCTCAGGAGGGTGTGGAAGGCTATGAGACATCGTTTCGGCTGCTGCTGTCACTGTAGTGCTGTGGATGATGTGGAGCCTTTCGCCCCTCCAGCAGATCTGGACCCAGAGCCTGATCCAGATCACTCCGCCGTCAAGCCAAACAATGGTGAATCCACAGTCATTATTTCTTGAACATTATTTTAAACAGTCATCTTGTTTTCCACTAAAAATATCGTTAGGCTTGTTTTCAGCAAATATTAATATCACTTTCCCCATATTAATACAGTATAATGCAAGGTTACTTCAAGGGGTTCGTAGTTATTGTAATTACTGTAATATGTACATTGTAGATGGGAAACCGGACTGTAAAATAAAGTTCTACCGGTAACACTTTATTTAAAGGTGACGTATGTACTACATCTACTTACTATAATAACTGTAAATGATGCATAATTACAAGTAACTAACCCTAAACCAAACTCTAACAGTAACGCCATAGGATAGTAAGTACATGTAGTTAATTCATATTACTTATTTGAGGAAGTACAATGCAAGTACATCAGCTTAAAATAAAGTGTAACCAACTATTATTTATTAAAAGGATCTAGCATGCTCATATATTTATCATATTCTGTTTGTTTTTCCAGAGTCCTTTGAGTCTCTCTTCAATATAGGAGAGATGATTGGATCCGGAGGATTTGGCAGGGTGTTCAAGGGTACGCGGAAGTTTGATGGCAAAAAGGTGAATTACGGAACTGTACAAACGTTTTGCTCTTGCATGCATCAAAACAATTTACAGATGGTTTAATACCTAGTGCAAGGTCAGGTGCCTGAATACTGTTACTGAAACTTTTTTTCTTTTTTTTTTGCAGGTTGCCATCAAAGAGATCAACAAGATTGACAACAATCGTTATCTTGTTATTGTAAGTTGGCTAAAACCTGTTTAAGTGCTGATTACTGTAGTTAATACACCTGTTGGAAGCATTAGCTGTAAAATTTATAGACAAATAAGCGTAGAAGCACCAAATAACTTTGGGCTACAATGGCTCTGAATCTACAGAGATAAAAGAAAAGTACATGATGTGTTTTCTTCAGATTTGTACCCAGCTAACCTTCTGTCTGCTACTTTTCTCTAGCCTGGGCATCCCGAACCTCTGGTTACAGAAGTGGCGCTGCTGCTGCTGATGAGGCAGGAACCCAGAAGCCCGTACATCATACAGCTGTACGAGTGGTTTGAACACCCTGAAAAATTCACTCTCGTTATGGAGTACCCTGAACCATGCGAGAGCTTGCTGGATTTCATCAGACGTAACTCTACACTGCATGAAACTACGGCTCGGATCATCATGCGACAGGCGGTGCTTGCAGTACAACACTGCATCGAGCGTGGCGTTTTTCATAATGACGTTCATGCGGACAACTTCCTGTTGATGAAAAACAAGTTAGAGGTCAAGCTCATAGACTTTGGCTGCGGTCAGCTTCTTAGTAGTGACGGCTACGACAGCAGTATATACCTCGGTGAGCATTTTAGCAGTGTAAAAACCTGAATGTAGTGACTTATTTTAAATAAAAAGCTCAATAATGCGCAAATGTTTTGCTTACAGGACTACCGGATAGCTGCCCACCTGAAGCCTACACACGACCGAGATTCCACGCCATTCCTACAAATGTCTGGAGTCTTGGAGTGTTGTTATACGAGATGGTGAATGCATGTTCTCCGTTTTTCGGTAGAACGGATATCACAGAAGGTGAAGTTATATTTGAGAACTCCAATTTATCCAAAGGTGAGAGAAGAATTCCGATTTCTTTGATTAATACACACATAAAGCAAAGGCTCTGTACAGAAACAGTTGAAGGTGAAGTACGCATGTAAGATTTTTTTCGAACCAGTAAAACTTGCATTTGTGATGTTTGAGTTTTTTGACGCAAAGACTGCATACTTCACCTTTAAAGTAAAGATAAAGAACATTTTACCTTACATTAATCATGTTTAGATGCTAAGTCACATGATCATGACTAACCACCTCTCTCCTTATTAAAATTTGTACAGAATGCAGAGATCTGATTCTCCAGTGCCTAACAAAGGATCCAAATAAACGGCCGACGTTAGAGCAGATGTTACAACATGAATGGATTAGAAATGATCTTCTTGTAGATTGGAGAAGTTCAGGAGATTCACTTGCTCTGTGATTTCAGGTGTGAGGAAGTGTAATGAACAGTATATAGGGTTATTACCAGACAGTTATCTTCAAATCAGGATTTTTTGTAGTGAGATTTTCACATTTATTGTAGTGTGTGACCAAGTTAATTTTATGTTCTTGTCATAGTCTAGTCAGCTTCATTTATACAGCGCTTTATACAAGACAGATTGTTTCAAAGCAGCTTCAATATCATGCATTAAAAAATAACAGAATCATTAAAGCAAACAGAATTCAGTTCTGCTGTAAAGCAGCTCTAAAAAAACGTTTATGAGTTGACATGTTCATATAATTTTGTTTTGGATAGGAAATAACACACTTGCTGTCCTTGGTGCAGGGCTTGAGCTCGTGACGTGACCCGAAGCCCGAAATCCAGCCTCGACTCGACAGGGAACCCAAGCCGCCACACCAGAGAGCTCAGAACCTGTGAGCATGAGAGACTGCAAGACTGGGAAGAAGTCATTGTAACAACTGTAACAATTATAAATCAACACGTGTACACAATCTTAAAACTTGTTAAGTTGTTAAGTTAACTTGTTTTTATCAGGCTGTTAGACAAAATAGGAAGGGTGGTGGGTTAGCAGTTACTTTCTCCTCAAAGTTGCAGCACCAAAAAAATAAAATACATTAAATTAAAATAAAATCACATTATGGAGGAATTTCAGTCTGGCTTTAGAGCTCATCACAGTACAGGAAACTGCCCTTACAAAAATAATTAGTTATACCAGAATAAACTCTGATCAAAAATAAGGTCTCAATTCTACTTCAGTAACACTTTATTTCGTAATTAAATATATATATAATATATATATATATATATATATTATTACGAAATAAAGTGTTATATATATATATATATATATATATATATATAAAATAATAAATAAGTAAAGTTGTCCTCCGAAGTTAGTTGGCATGTAGTTGAAAACTTACTTATAATTAGTAGAACGTCTAAAGTGACTATCGAAATAAAGTGTAACCAAAAAATATAATAATATATATAAAAAATATATACGTAATAATATATAATAAATAAATAAACTTCTCCTCCGAAGAGGGGGGGTGGAGGTGGGAGAATATAACATATTGTGTATGTACTTTAAAAAGATATTACAGTCTCTGATATATATATATATATATATAAATTATAATGTATATATAAAAAATATAACACTTTATTTCGATAGTCCACTTTAGATATTCTACTAACTATAAGTAACTTTAAGTACATGTCAACTAACTGTCATTAGAGTATTAGTAGACTGTCAGCTTAATAACTGTTAACACTTTATTTTGTTGGTCCCCCAACAGATATTCAACTGACTGTAAGTAACTTGGCGACTACAAGTAAACTTATTCTACTAACCCAAAGCCTAACACATAAACATAACCTAACAGTCTACTGACAGTCTACTATAATATACTAATACTCTAATGACAGTTAGTTGGCATGTAGTTGAAAAGTTACTTATAATTAGTGACTATCCAAATAAAGTGTAACCTTTCTGTGAAGCCAATTGACACTGAGGCTATTACGTCGATCACTAAATAAATGGGTGAAAACCAACTTTCTAAAATTAAATGAGGACTGACATTTTATTACTTAGCCCAAAAACTAAAAGAGAACTGTTGTTTAAGAATCTAGCTAAATCGACTCGTCGGGTATGACCAGAAGTTGCTAGTCTTGGGGCCTTATTTTAGACTCAGATAGGTTTTAACTCGCAAATTAATAAGGTAACAATCTTCATTCTTTTACTTAGAAAACATAGCTAAAATTGTTCCTCTTTTTAAACTAGAAAGATTAATTCATGCTCTTCATGCCAGAAAAATTAATTCATGCTCTTATCTCAAGGAGGCTCGATTATTGTAATGCACTTCTTACTCTCACATTAATTATATTCCACCAACTTTAAGATTGTCTAATGCAGTTTTTTTGCTGTTGATATTCATCTGTGCAATTGATCATGTAAAGCACTTAGAACAACATTTTGTGTCTGAAATGTGCCATATGTAAATAATTAATTATTATTATTGAATAAATTTGCTTTGTTTTAAAACCAATTTTTGTATATCTATACATCTCTATGTTTTGCTGTTTTTGTCCTCCCCTTTATTTGTACTTGTGTGTATGTTTCATTGGTGTCTTACTTTGTATAAGCAGCTATATCTTAATAATGAAAAAGTAAATATAACTAACAAAAACTAAAAGCAATTTTTGTTTTTAAAAGTTAAGACAATCATCATGATTTATAATATATAGGTTGTAGGTTATAATACATACAGGTTGCTTCAAAGCAGTTTTACAGTGACAAACTGGAAGATAACGATCAATGATGAAAATGATTTAATTCTGTAAGATTCCGATAAGACAGTAGAGTCATTACTCGGTTGTTCATAGTTCTTCAAATATATCAGTGTATATATATATATACTGTATATATATATATATATATATATATAAATATTTTGACCAGGTTCATGGCTAGAATCACAGAGGTTCTCAGGGAGCCTGCAACGTGATAATCAGTTATTACTGGACATCCAACTCGTTGGCCTTCAAGGAGGCCTGTGAGGGCCTGACTACTTGATAGTGATACTTGTTAGCAGAACTAACCTCAGACATATTAGACTCTCACAGAAATTCAGTTTTTATAATGTAACCTTCTCCACCTTGGTCAGTTTAAGGATAATTCATGCAATTTATTTGAAAGAATTAAAACAGATTCATGTCTATCCTTGTATTATTCAGCTGGTTGAGATTGATATGGGATTTTGAAAGTAATTAGTAATTAAAAGAAATTAAATACTTTTTAGAGTAAAATAGAGTAAATACTTTTTGGTTCCACCTTATTTTGATAGTTGACTTTAGACAGTCTAATAACTATAGTAACTTTACTACTACATGACATGTTAAAGGGTTAGTTCACCCAAAAATGAAAATTAACTCATTAATTACTCACCCCCATGCTGCACCAACCCCGTAAGTCCTTCGTTCATCTTCGGAACACAAATGAAGATATTTTTGATTAAATTTGAGAGGTGGATCACTACCACATATAGGCTGCCTAAGGGACTGAAACTTGACGGCCCAGAAAGTCAATGAAGAAAATGTTTAAATATTCCATGTGACTATTATTCCATGTGTACTTTATTCGACTATTAATTTTCTTCCTTGTAGGCCTGAGACGAGAGTTCAAGAGATTTCCACGACGCATGCGCGAGAACTGAACTGAAGTAGTTGAAGGAGATCGCAATTCTCGCGCATGTGTCGTGGAAATCTCTTGAAGTCTCGTCTCAGGCCTACAAGGAAGAAAATTAATAGTCGAATAAAGTCGTTATTTTTGTTTGTTTTTTCGCACAAAAAGTATTCTCGTCGCTTGATAAACTTATAGTTGAGCCACTGTAGTCACATGGAATATTTAAACATTTTCTTAATTGACTTTCTGGGCCGTCAAGTGTCATTCCCTTAGGCAGCCTTTGTGGCAGTGATCCACCTCTCAAATTTAATCAAAAATATCTTCATTTGTGTTCCGAAGACGAACGAAGGTCTTACGGGGTTGGTACAGCATGGGGGTGAGTAATTAATTACTTAATTTTCATTTTTGAGTGAACTAACCCTTTAACTAACTAGTATTAGTACACTGTAGTAAACTTTCAGTAGAACTGTTAGGTTACGGTTAGGTGTTAGGATTCGGATTAGTAGAATAAGTTGACTTGTACTTATAGTCAGTAGATTATAGATGTCTATTGGGGGACCAACAAAATAAAGTGTTAGCAAATACTAAGCAGATAGTCTACTAGTACTCTAATGAAAGTTAGTTGACATGTAGCTGCGAAGTTACTACCCACAACACACTGGCCCAAACTAACCAATCTGAGCCCATTGCCTGTTTCTGAGGGAGTGGTTTTATAGACTCAGGAAGTCAACTGGTCGTTCAAATGACAGAGGAGAATGCGGCTTACAATAAAGGTGAAATTTATGAAAAATAAGACTTTTTAAAAAAGAAAAACACAAATACATGTTATATTGCACCCCATAAACACAATCATGCAAAGAAAAAAAAAAAGCAGTAAACCACCCCTTTAAACAAAATGGGCAAATTAATATGGAATTTAAACAAAATACCCTAATGAAGTAAAATAGACAAAACACAATTCATCCGCCGATTATCAAAGTTTTTATTTGAAACGGAAAAGGTAAAGAGAGGCAACTCTACAAACACAATGTGAGGATTCACAATTCATCTAACCTTGGCCTGATGTTTTCACTCCGATACTCTTTTCTCCTACATTCAAAGGACACAGCCGTGTATCTGAGCATGATCAAACCTCTATCACCCAAAAATACACAATACAGTCAAAATGAAACATGCAACCCTGAACACAAACAAGTGCGTGCAAAACCCTCCGCTCGGTCCAAATACAGTTTAAGGTGAACAATAAACATATTTACACATATTTTTCGTAATTTCTTAGATTTCCCTCATTACAAACAAATACAAAGCAAATGGCAAATAAACTAAATGCGTGTGGATGGAGGATTTGTTGTGGATGATAGTTTCATTCTATGAAGGGAGAAATATTCATCAAACTAAGAATCACTTCCAAGTAATCATCAAACCCTTCAAACAGGTGCAAACTGAAATATATGAAACCGTTTGCAACTATTCACACACACAAACACACCAAGGAAACCAGTCCTGTATGCATTAGCGCTGCTGATGCCCACTTGTAGCATCTAACCATTTGAGTCACGGTTTATGGAAAAGCTCTACAAATTGCAGCCAAAAATAGATAAACCCAAGTTAAATGTCTATCGAAACAAGCGGTTTTCTAAGCATAATACAACATGTGGAAGTGGCAGGCAATGTAGAAATTCAACTGCAATATGCTGACTGTTATAGAAATAGCACACAGTCTAATGCAGACGCCCCCTTCCAAATCCAATAGTCTCTAGTTGTGTGGTGTAACAATACCTGGAGGAGAAGACTTAACTGTGCCAGGTCCCAAAGCATCAAGTGACATTAGGCCAAACCACTCTTATTTGGCTCACATTGGAAAACGTAACAATGAAATCATCTTCTCCTCCCTATGGTCCTAGCCAACTAGAGGAGTTGGAGGTGGTGTCAGGAGGGTGGCTGACTGGCGTCTCAGTGGTGTGGGGACACAACAGAGCGAGGGCTACCGCTGGGAGCCAGGTATCTTTCCCTGGCGTGTTTCTCACAGAACATGTTGTCCTCCACCCAAAAGTGACCGCGCATCTTTAGGTTGAGTCCACATTCTGTACAGGTGTAGCACTCTGGATGACGGAAACAGTCATCTGTGATCCTCACAGCCTGAGTGCTGAAACGGGAAATATAACTTTTAAAGTCACTGAACACAAGGTCTGTTCTATAACTCAGCATTTGCCTAGCCTTAGATGACTTTTGCCTGATTTATAGCCTGGTTGATGCTAGTTGCCGAAAATCAGAGCCAGTCTACAGATTTTGAGCAGTCAGAGTTGACAGATTTAGTGTATGATGGGCACAGACACCCATTTCTTTAGCTTCAAACTCTGATCCCATCCAGTTGGAGGATATCAAACATGTTTGATATTTGAATTGATTTTAGAACAGATTGTTTTCATTTTACAGGCATCTCCTAGCAATAAAGCACATGTTTCTGTGTTAATTTGTTGTGTTCTGAATAACTTGAAAATCTGGTAGTGTGTCAACCAAGTTCATAAGGTGCTTTATGGGATGCCTTTTGAACAGCACTGAAGTAAATTAGATTGTTGTCAA